ACAGTATGATATACATTTACACACATCATACTACAGTGTTATCTCTTCAGTGGTTGTTGCAGCGTGTGTCAATAGTTTCCCTCAATTTTGACAGTTCATCTCTGACGCACAATCCATAAAAGCAATGACAATGACGCCGCTCAGCTGTTTCCTGTGTGTACAGTACTTGCATAGACAAAGTTCAGCACTAAACTGAAGGTAACAGCCTCCAGCGGCACGTACCACCGAACTGAAGGACAGTCACAATGACTGCTGAACGTCGGGCCGCATCAACGTGAACAAACACTCAGTTACTACGATTCCAATCGGCGAAGTGATTCGTGACTTGCTGACAGTGTGAATAGTGATTCACTTCACGTCCTGAACTCCTCTGGCTCAGCTGCCTTTAAGCTGCTGGTGATTTCAGCTCAGGCTCATATGACCAAATAAAGATTAATAGGAGATCAATTTTCAATTCATTTCAGCCAAAAAGTTGGAGGCTTAAGAAGATGCACAGTCAATGGGTTTTCCATATAAAGACATCAGCTCCTCTTATTGTTTGATAAAAACATTTAACATTGTCACCGATCAAACACCTGCTAGTTTAGGGATATTGAGATATATATCCCAAAATAGATCCCGTTCATTGTGATGAGGATTCTGGGTAATGAGGTTCGCGTTTCCTGACCAGCAAATAAATCCCCAGTGGAGGGCCTGTGAGTGTTGACTGTCTGTTAATCCCAAAACAAACCTGAATCAACTACTTATGTGAATCCTCTTATTCTGTGCTGCAGTTTGCACCGGATGATGTGAGGAGTTTGCAGAGAAAGCTTATCGATGCTGCTGTGAAAGACATGCCAATATCACTGATATCTGCACCCGTTAACATGACATGTTAAGCTCTGGATGATTTAGAGTTGGATATTTCTGATCGCACCTGAAGGCAGCGTTACATCAGCTGTGCCAACAGTGGCAAAAAAACATCTGCTTATTCAAATTCAGTCAACAGAACCAGGGATACAAAGGCTGTTTGTGTGGAAGCTTTGGAGAGAAAGATCCTCAAGTTAGGACACCGAAGCACCAAACAGGAATGTTGTTGCTCAGTTTGAACTCAGACCTCAAAGACCTTTTAATGTTGTCGTTCTTTGTACTGTAACTCATTTTCAAAATCAGTTTTGCAACTCGGCTATGAGATAAATATTGTGCAACAGGGACAGGCGAAAATGTATCAGAACAAGTCTGGTGATTTTATTACCGACTGATCCTGGAGCTGAGATTACAGTGAAATGTGATTTGTTTGAAGATGTTCTGTCTGGAGATTAGATTTAGGCAGACTGCAGGAGAGAAAGAGACATTACCATCGATTAGATTACATTTCTGGGTCAGATTACTTTTCCGTTTGCAAACCCACCTGCATGCAGGGAGGTGAATGAGACACACGGAAGTGTTTTGATGCACACTGGTTATTTGTGTGAGAAAGACAATTACTTCTGCTTCATTTGCCTGTCAATCTCAACTGTCCGGATGGAGCAGAGAAGCAATAAGACAGGCAGTGAGAGAACTGCTCAGGTCAAACACACCAAATGAAGATGCCATTCAAACACCAAGGTCGAAGGTCAGGGTGAGCCACAGAGCCGGTGAGGATTCGATGTTTGGCTCGAGGACATCTGCTGAACTCGAGTCCTGAGACTAAAGTCTGGTCTTTAACTCACACACCAACACGCGCAAGACGGAGCTCTGATCCGAGATCTGCTCATCTTAGAGACTTTGCTCTGCGTAAATGATGTGTGGGCTTTAGAGGAGACGGAGGACTCAACCACCACTCCCACCGTCATCGCTCACTCTGCCTACAGACACACAGCTGAGCAGCATCCGTGCTGGAGGAAGTAACGACACTCGTGTAGTGTCACTGGGAGAGAAATGAGGTATGAACCGCCGTGTGTGTGTGTGTGTGTGTGTGTGTTTTAATCAAAAGAGACTAAGTGTGCAGCTGCTGCTGATATGATGACCCCCCCCACGCCTCATACACAGAGAAGACGAGCAGTGTGATCTGTTTGGCCTCTCTGTTTATGGAGCTGGGCCTTTCCTGCCCTCTGATGTGTGTGCTCGAGCCATGAATAGAGCTCTGTGTGTGGACGTCCTCATGATTCAAATGCTGAGTCCATCTGATCAGTGTGTCTGAGAGAGAGAGAGAGAGAGAGAGGGAGAGAGAGAGGGAGAGAGAGAGGGAAAGAGATAGAGAGGGAGAGAGAGAGAGAGAGAGAGGGAGGGAGAGAAAGAGAGAGAGAGAGGGAAAGAGAGAGAG